TCTTATTTATATTTAAATATTATGAACATTATTGTTAAATTTTTAAACAAGGGATTATTATTAAAAGAATTCCTGTCCATCCTCCATTCATTATAAAAGCTTGGTTCTTGCCTAGACCGATAGAGAAATGTATGGAGAATATTTATTACGAGAAATATGTCAAACTTTTTGTTCTTTGCTTCATGGTATTGGCTAATTAGTAGTAATTAACGTTAATTTAGCCTACTCTACTAGCATAAAGTCTTAAAATTTTAAATTTTTTCAATTTAAAAAGCAAAAATCAAATTTTAACGAAACCTCTCGTGAGGAATTGCTGAATTCGATTCTGAACAACTTTTGTATCTAGAGTTTTGTTTCAAACTGCCTGCTTCAAACGAAACTAGCCATAAGGCTTTTTTCAAAATACTTTTAGCTCTAAAATATCCTCGGCAAGGTGAAAGTTAAATTCCTCCGTCAAACTTCATTTGAGAACGATGTAAAGTCTTTCTCCTTATACCAGTCAATGTTCTCTATCGATCAACGCCAGAATCAACTCCTCATACCAAAAGCTGAAGTGTTATTGAAAATTTAAAAACAGGGCAGAAAACCCGAAAACATTTCAACATCTTTTTAGTCAAAAACTACAAATCCGAGAACTGAAAGCTGTGTTGAGTCGTATACTCCGAAGTGTCCTCTACACAATTGTAAAAAAAACAAAACCACCGCCACTCGTTCCTTTTTAATCATACGTTGTCATACGAAAACGTTATTTAATCCCGTCGCTGCATACATCACATGCCCCACTACCGACTATTATCATCCAACTAAGATCGATATCAGATTTATGCTTTATTTACGGATCAGTGGTATTACTAATGTTTGCGATAATTAGTTCAGTCTTCAACATTGTGATATATAGTCGTCGTACGTTCAGAACGCTTTCATGCGCTCGAAATCTGGTCGTCGGAATCATCGTTGATCTCATCATATTATATTTCGCTTTAACCACAAGTATGCTTATCAGTTTTGGACAACAGTAAAAGTAGAAAGTAGGACATATAAGGACGTCATTAGTAAGAGCAGGAAAAGTAAGAAAAGTGAAGCCTAAATATTATATATCCGTTCCTTCACGAAAATCTTTTCAATCTTAGTTGGATGAAAATCGTCGATAGTGGGGATGACATGTGTGCAGCGACACGAACAATCTTCCTCATGTTTTTTATCATGTGTGAAACGTTTGATGATGATTGTCATACTACGATGCTCCTCACTATCTATATGAGAGCGTGACAATTAATATTTTTGTATGAAAATCTTTTGAATAAGGAACGGATATATAATATTTAGGCTTCACTTTTCTTACTTTTCCTGCTCTTACTAGTGACGTCCTTATATGTCCTACTTTCTACTTTTACTGCGACGGGATTAAATAACGTTTTCGTATGACAACGTATGATTAAAAAGGAACGAGTGGCGGTGGTTTTGGTCTTTTTACCATTCTGTAGAGGACACTTCGGAGTATACGACTCAACAGAGGTTCTTCGGGTTTTCTGCCCTATTTTTAAATTTTCAATAACACTTCAGCTTTTGGTATGAGGAGTTGATTCTGGCGTTGATCGATAGAGAACATTGACTGGTATAAGGAGAAAGACTTTACATCGTTCTCAAATGAAGTTTGACGGAGTAATTTAACTTTCACCTTCCCGCACGGGATTTTTGAGCACGGGACTGTTATAAATAAATTTTAATGAATGAATTGGATTCGAAAAGTCTTAAGAGACGTTTTACCAGCCCAGCGAGAAAAGCTATCAAGTGAAATTTTTTGGCCTATAATTTTTTTTCTAGTTTTCGATTCTGTGATCAAAACTGGGGTTATAAAAACATTTTGAGGTCGTTTGGACTTGATTTCGCCGAGTTATAAAATTTACAAAATTAGATGTATCGAAGATTTTCAAAAAAGTGAGGTCCGTGACATTTTGCCTATAACTTTGCTAAATTTTATCCGTTCTATTTGAACAACGTGTCATTCGAAAGTCCATCAAGAAATGAACAAAATCATGTGTTTCTAAATTTTTTCGAACGGAAACTGGATTTTTCAGAAGCCTATCATTTGAAAAATTAGTAATTTTAAAAACAAAATTTTTCCAAGAAACTTTATTTTTCGCCGTCCATTAGATTTCCCGCAAAATGTGAGTTAGTGCATTTTGTAGAACATGCAATTCTCTACAAAATAGGCTATAAAACTTTCTTTCACAACCTCAGGAACATGTTGAAAAATTGCTTGCAATTATTACCATCAAAGTAATTAATTATACTATCATTTTTTTAAAATCAATCTTTCTTAAAAAGAAACACACTTTTTATATTAAATCAAGTATCCTGGACGAACATCAGTCGTTGATCCAGCTCTTTATCTGGTGACACTGCTCGGTTTCGAGAGCAAGCCGGAGGTGATGATTGTTCATTGCTAATTCCCATTGAATTTCTTAAATTATTTCGTTCCTCAGTCTCTTCAACTACCTGATTATCGTCAAATTCATCATCATCTTCCTCCTCCACTTCGTCTACAACTGCTGTTTCTGTTTGCTTTCCACGTATCGACTTCAAACGTGAAAAAACGATCTGATCTGGCCAGGTTTTAAAAACTCGGCCGGTGTGAAATAGAATCTATTCTTCAAATCTTTTATTCGTTGCATTTCAGCTGATACTTCCTCTGGTTTCCATCGAATTCTCTGTTGTACACCCTCATCGAACTTCTCAGGGAGATATTTTATCTGAGATTAATTCAGACGTGTCACTTTTCGTTCTTTTGGCAAAGCCCATCCTCTGTCTGGTGTAATACGAATTGTATGAAAAAAAAAGAAACTCCACGGTACTGGAGTCGGTCTTGCATCGTTGTGATATACGAGTTACACCTAAATTAGATTATAATAACATGTGTATTTGTGTATCGAATTATTAGACCGTGAATTGGCTAAACTTAAAATGAGTACGGATGCTATTGAGGCATGGAAATGTCATCAGCTACGAGCTGTGAATCAGGATCTGTCAAGCCAAGAACTGCTGCAGGATCTGCCTGCCAATTCAGTTTATATTCTAACAGATTGGGCGATGAAATGGCTTCCGGAAAAATACATGAAGCCACAGGAAGACTTTTTCGCCAAGCGAGGTTTATCATGGCATATTAGTGTGGTGGTGAAGAAAGTAACTAGTACTACTACAAAAAGCACACATCCAAAGAATACTACGGGTAATGATGAAAGTGAGAATGAAGAAACTAGTGACGAAGAGGCCGAGGAAGAAGAAATGTCTGCACAAAATAGTTATACTCATACAGTTTATGTTCATGCTATGGATCATTGTGTTCAGGATAATGAATCTGTCGTTGCCATTCTTCAAGATGTATTGACACGTGTTAAAGCAGATGATCCATCGATAGAATATGCGTACTGTCGTGCAGATAACGCAGGATGTTACCATTCTGCCGGTACAATCCTGTTGTTACCAATGATATCTGAAAAAACTAAAATCAAAATATTCTCTTAATTAGTGTAATTAGTCAATAACAGGAAGGAAAACACAAAACTTTTCTCAGCCAGACAATGTCCGCAAGCCGAAAAAACGCAAGAAAAAAAAACAGAATAGAATTGTTGTTTTCGAAAGTATGACTGTTACTGAATAGATCAGAGTTACAGAAAGCGGTTAGTACGTGTATTCATGTGAAAAACTTTCACCAGTTCAGTAATCGAATGCGCCAGTGATGCAACGACACATAAGGCACAGAGGTCTGAAAATTAGTTCTTTTAGTTAAATATCAGTTCGGATGATCAGCATTCATGGTGAAGTACAACTACACAACACCGAAGTCACGAATCACGAGATATAGGATATGAAGACTTTTGAGGGAGTTTGTAAATATAGTACATGCTAGCAATGACGCTACTGCGGTTTATGAAGATTTAGACAAAAGAAAACCAATTGAACTCTGTTTGACGTTTATTAGCCGATGCGTTTAAAAAAAGTATGAGAAACGAGGACTTTAGCCTGATTTCGGTCGGTTCACGACGTTGTATCGATACTGTCTTGTAAAGTCAGCCTGTTACTGGAAAGATGCAGAGTTATAGAAAGTCGTTGGTGTTAATTAGTCATACAATTTGTTCTTCGGGAAAGCGAAAACTTTAGATTTAGTATTAGTTATTTAGTAGGTTATTGATCAATGCTACATCCAGTTCACAACGTTTTATTGATATTATAGTTTCAACTGCTTTCTTCTACGAGATTAAAGATAAAGGAAAACGTAGTTAAATGTAATAGTAAAAGTAATAAATGAAATAAATGATGAAGACTGACTTGACTTGAAGTTCTTGAATAATTACCTCACAAGGTGAAAGATCGCGTTACTTGCGAACGTAATCTTGAGTTTTGGTCATAAACACTTCGCAAAAAGGTGCGTAGCTCTTGACGAAACATTCTACTCGATACAATGTTCATGTAAAATGTGCCTGCATAATAGATGTATGAAATGAAAATGGCGACTAGTTGAGAAAATGTCTCTATGGCTACACGTATTT